TCTTTGTTACATCTAATACAAGACTCCCCCCCCCAAAAAAAAAAAAAAAAAAAAAAAAAAGTTAAAAGAAAAATAACTACTTCCTGTGTAAGGTATCATTCTCCACATTGCCAGTGCAGAAGAATAAAGCTTCAGAAATGACCATAGAAGTGAATTTATATGGATTAGAGAAAAAAGAGTTCCGTGATGTAACCGCATGCTTATGACTTAACGCTCGTATCGACGTTTTGGCGGGAACAAGGCTCAGCATGTTTGGGCAACCTCGCCTCGTACGATAATGTTCCGTTTTTCATTTCTTTTTTTTTTTTCTTTTTTTTTTCGTTTTCGGTTTCTCACTAGGTCGATTATGATTATAGTTTCTTGCTATTTGTTTCGGTAGATGTAAGAGGATTGAAGTACTGACGTATTCTCAAATAGCTGAGTAGCTTAAATACACAGAAGTTGATATTGCATGCCAGACAACCAACGCAAGGCGGAAGTTGCATTCCGCTGTGAATACACGTTGCAATATGTTTTTTTTGAATTGTATGACCCAATTGTGAGAAATATAACCGAAACACATTTCGATGTTAAACACATTTATGATTTTTTTTCAGATATGAAAATAAGACCCGCAATAATATATGATAATATATTAAGTTGATAATTCTTGTTGATATTAAAACAAAAAAATCTAATCTCTAAAAAGTAGACACTAATTTCTGATGCTAACATATGTGCGTATATATATATATATATATATATATATATATATATATATATATATATATATATATATATATATATATATATATATATACATATATATATATATATATATATATATATATATATATATATATATATATATATATATATATAATAAAGAAGAAAGCAGGAAGTCTTATGTGAGCTGCATACTCTTGAATTGCAATCAAAGGATGGTAAATGCTGACCATGAGAAAATGTTTCTATACCGTCTCCAGCTTGAAAATACAAGGACTAAGTAAATTCCTAAACGAGTACAGAATGTGTGAAAAGGCGGTGATTGGTGACTTTGGTTCAAAGGGTTGCATTTCCATTTTACCATCATTTCTTCTCATTTTAACCCTGAAGGAGTTCAACATCAATTGCTACAAGCCAGGCAATGGTGAGACATCAATCATCCCTGTGTCCATTGATCTAGATGTGGAAGTGTCACTCCCTCTACTGAAACACACAATGGCCCTCCCTACCTCTGCCTCCTCCTCCTCCTCCTCTTCCTCTAGAGGCAACAACTCGGAAGAAAGTCGAACAAAGAAGCAGAAGGTCCTGCATGGGGTCCTCATTATGAAGAATAATGTGAGTAAGAATGTGATTGTATCTCTAATTTAGTAGGGAGAGAAGTAATTGCTTGATATCAGAAGGAAATTAAAAGGAATTTGTGATTTTTTGCTCCTTTAGTTACTATCTTCTTTCTCCCCATTTCTTTATAGAAAGTAGTTAAGTAAGTACAACTGTTTTCAGCAAGTTTTTCCTTATTTACTTTTTACAGAATTTGAGAATCGTTGGGGTAAATGAAGCCTGGGGAGATCTCGGTGTAACTGCACACAATCTCAGGTTCACGGAGAGAATTGAAGTGGATGAACCTGGCCCTGTTCCTGCTCTCACCTCAGCATTACACACACTCTTGTCTCAGTAAGTCAAGTCATATTTGATGCTTTAAATGTGTCTGTCATTGTCCAATAATTTAACAACAATAGTTCTGTGTTAGATCTCAGAATTGTTCTTGATAAAATAATTGTACGAACGGGCAGAAAGAAAAGAAAGTACAAGGCTGTTTTATATAATCTTAAGCTATATTGGTCATTTTTATACCAAGGAAAAACTGTTCAAAAGATATACAGTATTCAGAAATTTTCTTTGTGGTGTTTCCTTTATCCTTCCTAGTGGTAAAAAAAAAATGATTGTTTGTTATTTTACCTTTGGAGAGAGGGGAGGGAGAGGGAGAGGGAAAGAGAAAGACATGGAGAAGGAGAAAAAGAAAGAGAAAGAGAAAGAGAAAAAAGAAGAAAAATAAAAAGGAAAAAGGAAAAGGGAAAGGAGAAAAAAAGAAAGAGAGAGAACTTTTATCAATATGATTACAAAAAAATATATCATAATTTATAGATACTTATATCTAAAAAAAATCATTTAAAATTGGTCGGACTTCGTATGTTAATGGAATTCACACCTAAAGCATCTTATCACCTTTATTATCTCCATGCTTCTTCCAGCGGCTTGTTTTTTTTTTTGTTTTTTTTTAAATTTTTATGTTAAAATGTACTTGTATAAGGGACGAAAGGAATATGTATGTGTGTGTAGATGCGCTGGATGAGTATTGGTGTTGGGTATGATTCTGAGCAATAGCGTATCTATAGGTTACCCTACCCCCCCCTTCTGACTCCATGAGAATCTGGGTCCCAGCCCCCCCCCCCCTCCCCCGTGCTGTAATTTTCATTTTCTATAATCAAAATGTGCTATACTTCTGTTCAATTCGTTTTATTTGGTACTATGAGTGTATCAGTAGCTGTGTAATATTCTAATACCCGCCATCGATTTGATCTTAGAAAATGCTCTAAAACCCTTATAGGGCATTAGAATATCCTTTAGGTCCATTGCCTAATGCCCCCAGTGCTCAGTTCCCCCCCCCCCCCCCCCCCCAGAAAAAAAAACTACACACTCATTGATAGATACCGAGCTACACCGCCGATCCCCTGGCCTGTGCGTGGGCAAGGTCTATACAGGCACCATTTTTCCGATTGCGCGGAATGGTTTATGGTCCGGTATCTGAAACTGGTCTTGGGTATTCGTGCTTGTGAATTGCTGATCATACTTCTGTTTGTATTATGTACGGAATTCGAGTAAAATTACTAATGATTATGGTGTGGATTTTTTATACATCACAATGGCTTAATTACGAGAAGCCCATTGATTGTAAATCTCGGCCCGGTGTATGGACAGAGATTTTCAATATGATCCATGATGTAATATTGGGCACTCTGCTACATGACTTAAATAAAGGCAATCTTACTAAAAGCGTTGAGTTCATAAGTAAAACAGAGAAAATGAGTTTCACGATCGGGCGGTCGTGAGAACTCGATACCCCAGTGGATTATAAAAAAAAAAAAAAAAAAAATACAACTTTTATAATAAAATTAAGACGCATACAGTATTGTACGAATACAGCTTGCAATATTTATAATGAAGCTTTTTATTCTTCTTTGTTACATCTAATACAAGACTCCCCCCCCCCAAAAAAAAAAAAAAAAAAAAAAAAAAGTTAAAAGAAAAATAACTATTTCCTGTGTAAGGTATCATTCCCCACATTGCCAGTGCAGAAGAATAAAGCTTCAGAAATGACCATAGAAGTGAATTTATATGGATTAGAGAAAAAAGAGTTCCGTGATGTAACCGCATGCTTATGACTTAACGCTCGTATCGACGTTTTGGCGGGAACAAGGCTCAGCATGTTTGGGCAACCTCGCCTCGTACGATAATGTTCCGTTTTTCATTTCTTTTTTTTTCTTTTTTTTTTCGTTTTCGGTTTCTCACTAGGTTGATTATGATTATAGTTTCTTGCTATTTGTTTCGGTAGATGTAAGACGATTGAAGTACTGATGTATCTCATATAGCTGAGTAGCTTAAATACACAGAAGTTGATATTGCATGCCAGACAACCAACGCAAGGCGGAAGTTGCATTCCGCTGTGAATACACGTTGCAATATGTTTTCTTTGAATTGTATGACCCATTTGTGAGAAATATAACCGAAACACATTTCGATGTTGAACACATTTATGTTTTTTTTTTCAGATATGAAAATAAGACCCGTAATAATATATGATAATATATTAAGTTGATAATTCTTGTTGATATTAAAACAAAAAAATCTAATCTCTAAAAAGTAGACACTAATTTCTGATGCTAACATATGTGCGTGTATATATATACATATATATATATATATATATATATATATATATATATATATATATATATATATATATATATATATATATATGTGTGTGTGTGTGTGTGTGTGTGTGTGTGTATATATATATATATATATATATATATATATATATATATATATATATATATATATATATAATAAAGAAGAAAGCAGGAAGTTTTATGTGAGCTGCATACTCTTGAATTGCAATAAAAGGATGGTGAATGCTGACCATGAGAAAATGTTTCAATACCGTCTCCAGTAAATTCCTAAGCGAGTACAGACTTCTGAGTAGTTAAAATTTCGATGTCGATATAGGACAAAACTAAGAAAATATATTTTATCAATCCCTTAAATAAGACAAAAATCACCGAGAATATACACCGAATTACAAATCAATACACAGGAAACAAAAATATGAATGAGTAAACAATAAACCAAAAAAAAAACAAAAAAAACACACTTATAAAAAGAAAAGAAACAGGTTCCTTAAATGAGAAAAAATCAAAATCAACGAAAACGTAAACCAAAATACAGCTTGATAAACAGGAAACCAAAAAAGTCAATGAATAAACACTAAACCAAAAAAAAAAAAAAATAAAAAAATAAAAAAAAAGAAAAAAAAAAACATAATAATCACCGAAAACGTAAACCAAAATACAGATTGATAAGCAGGAAACCAAAAAAACTTGAACGAATAAACACTAAACCAAATAACACTCCATTAAAAAAAAGAAAAGAAAAAAAAACATAAAAAAAAAACAAATATCTTCTTCTTCCTCAGCTTTCTCCCGTTTCTATACGGGGTCGCTGTTCCTGGTCAGCCGTTTCCAAACGCCTCGAAAAAAAAATAAACAAATATCACCAGCACGATATCAATCTTCCCCAAAACGTCAATGAATAAACACCAAACCAAAACCCTATTAAAACTTTATTAAAAAAACAAAACAAAAAACAAACATAAATAAAAAGGTTAAACAAATATCACCAGCACGATATCAGCCTCCGTACGACAATATCTTCGCCCGGCGTACGACAGTTGGGCGCAAGTGGTCACAGGGAGAAAACTTACACAACAGAGGCGGGAAAGGTCGAAGAGAGTGAAGAAGTCCTGCAGTCTGCTCCCGAAAGTCGAGATAATTTTTTTTAAACAGGTTTGAACAGTCAGCGGCGTGTTTTTTTGAGGTTAAAATGTACTTTTATAAGGGACGAAAGGAATATGTATTTGTGTGTAGATGCGCTGGATGAGTATTGGTATTTGGTTTAGTGTTTATTTCGTCACTTTGATTTTCGTGCCTGTGAGGACCTGCGTGGAAGTCATTGTTTACATGTTTTGAGTTCCGTTGTGTGAACTGCATTTGGGAAAATAACAGGATGTGATGGAAGTTTATTTGTGTGTACTGAAGTAATGCTGCGATGGCGTAAATCTTTGAAAGAATAGCTTATTTGGAAGGAAATTATTATTTAGTTTCTTTTGCTCTGAGTCGGTGTGGAGGGAAAAGTTACTCTTCACAATTATGGCTGAATAGTTATCATTACAAGATGTTTGTTTATGTGGAGTCGGTGTCTTATGGATTAGCAACCGATTGGCCTTTTAATTGTCTGCATTTCAACAGCTGTTAACTGTTGTTATTTAGTGAGATGGCTCTGTTACACTATATTGCCCAATTTGTTACTTAATTAGTTCTTCTACAGTTTGTAATTTATGTAGGACTTGGTGCATGATGACTGCAATAAGATATGGCAAATTCTAAGGACATTGCCAAGAAGAGGGATAAAAACTACACTGGTACTTGAAAGAATCTGCACAGGCCAAGGATATCATTAGAAATGAAACAAGCAGTTCTAGGATGCAGGGGTGCTGGCTAGGGAAATACAGTGATTGGCTGGGGTCTGAGGACAAAACCTCCAAGTTAGGAAGGCTACATCGGAGTGCCCTCATGGGTTTTGGCTGGAGTAGAAGGGACTTGGTCTTAGAGGGGTATGGTCACTCTGCAATCAAACTCCCATTATGGCAAGGTAGAGCATGTAAATTATCTTGGTGATTTGTTGTCAGGTAAGGAACCAGTTCAAGCTCGTGTCATAGCCAAGGTGATTTTTGGGTTTGGTCTCTGGTGGATGTTACTCTAAATTCAGATATAATAATTTTTTGTTTGGTCTTATTCTTACTGGACCATATCTATTCAGCTGACATTCATGTGATTAGTGTCTGCTTAGCCAAACTAATATGAAGTTCCCCTTCAAGTGACATTAGAGGTGGATGTATAGGCATAGGTTAAGGCCTACTAGTTTATTTTGTTATTTCTGTGGTAAGTATCAGGGAGTGTAACCCTATACATTAACAGGTAAATATGTTCGAGATACTTTCAGCAGTTTTCAAAATGAGACTATGTACAACTAAGGTTTTGAATGGGTCTGTTTGCTATTATACAGTTGTGTGCTATCCATATCTAAGTGAAAGTTGCTGTAATCTGTTACAAAAGTTCTGGTTTTCTAAGCCCAACCCAATAGTCCTCATTTGATGATTGGAATACAGGTCTGTCGCCTCTATCTTGTCAAAACGTGTGTTGGCGATTAACTGCTGCTGCACCAAAAGCACAGAGGCCAATGATGGATAAGAGCATACAGTATAGCTTATCAAGTAGCTAATTGATGTTAAAAAAAATTTAGTAACAGTATAGATGTTGAAGGCTGGAGCTGTTGTCATTGTCTTTTTTTTTCCCCTTTTCAGATTCGGAAATGCCCCCTACAAATCGAGCTGATATTGATGAGGAATTCTCCAATGATAGCAAAGCCAGTTCAGGTAGATATTTACATACATGCATACATGCATACATACATGCATGCATACATACATACATACATACATACATACATACATACATACATACATACATACATACATACATACATACATACATACATACATATATACATACATACATACATACATACATGCATGCATGCATGCATATGTATATACACATGCAGAGTTGTCAATAATTTGATTTCACACAAACCAACAAATCCATGTATTTTGAATTTTATTTTTTTCTTTGGGCAGAGAGTTCAACGAGCACCTTGAGCCTTTCTCCAGCCAGGCCAGAAGGTTCACCTGAGATGCCTGATGAAAAGGCTCATGGGCTGTCTCGCACGGCTTCTCCTAACTCGGAATCCAAAAGTAAGAAATATGACAGATGAAAAATGTCAGTCAAGGAAGCTACTTTGTGTTGGTTTGGATGTTTGTATGATTATTAGGAAAAGTTTGCAGAAGTCAGTCAGGCATGTTTAGAATAGATAGAAACAAAGTATGTGGAAAGTTCTTAAAAAAAAGAAAAAGGTTTTATTTTATTTGTTTATTTATTTATTTATTTGTTTTATCTGTTTATTATTATTATTTTTTTTTTCAATGTGTGTGTCTGATGAATGTTTCAAATCAATCTGCAGGTGGTGTGGATAATGTGCTGACCACAGATATTATTGCTGAAGAAGAAAAGTTAGAATTAGCCAACGATGAGCAGGAAAAGGCCTGGCGCAAGGAAGTACAAGACAGGGCAAAGGAAGAGGAAGAATTAAAGGAAAAGAGGTACTGGTTGTAGAAGAATTTAAGATTTTGCATGTAATATATTCATTATCTGTTCAATTTCTAGTCTGCTAGTTTTTGTTAATAGTCTTGCATAGGAGTATGTTTGATTTTCTACGTAATTGTAATTGTTTTAATTGCTAGCCTGGCTTAATTATTAAGATATATGTATATGTAAATAAAATTTTTGGTAAGTTTAAGCTTTCTTTAAGTTAGGGAAGACTCCCTGGTCATACTATTCAATATTAAAAGGGTTATTTGTGGCAAAAAATCTATAAAAGGATGATTTTTGTTCAAGTGATTGTACTGAATATGATTTGTAACAGTGCTCTAATGTCTTTCCAGGTACAAGAGACTGATGCATTTGCTCAATAAGTCTCAATTTTATAGCCAGTTCCTCCTTCAGCAAATTGAAAGCCAAGATACCAAACAAAAGAAGGGAAGAAAGTAAGTGTTTATTTTTCTGACTTAACATGTATTTATTCTCATTGAAATTTCATGGTTGTCATTATCATAATTATGATTAAAGTATGGTAATTATGATAATGTGTCTATTTTATGGTCATCCCATCATGCTGTTTATTTATTGAAATTATAATATAATAATATGTAATTTTTTTCTTTTTTCAACTAAAATTAGAAAATGTTTTTTGCCAATTCAATATTTCCCTTGTCCTCAACACAGGCATATAAGGTTTACAAATTTTCATTCATTACTATTTCACCAGGTCAGACTTCACCAGTCTAAGTGCTATCAGAGAGATATTAAAGAATTCCTTGTCTTTTCTTTTCAGACCCAAGGCTGAAACTAGTACAGAAAAAGAGAATGTTAGCACTGAAGGTAAGGAGAGATATTTTCCTGTTCTATAACCTTTCATCTTGTAGCATCATAAAGTAAAGTCTGAATCTTTGTTTTACGGAAAAGAGGAGGTACTTCATGCTTGCTAAACTGCTTTCAATTTATTATTATCAATGTGATGAATGAGTTTGATCCTTTGAATAAGAGTTCTTATTTGATGACTTTGTGATCGTTTCAGCAGAGAGCTCCCAGGATTCAGAGAAGAGTGGTTCAAGCAGAGGCCGCAAACGCAAGAACAATTCAAGTGCGCCAGCTGCTAAAAGAGTCAAGGATGGAAAGTACAAGATTGAAGATGTCATAGATAAAGAGGTAGGTTGCTTTGCTCTTCTTATTTAGATAAAGAAAAAAGAAAGGAATAAAGAAAGAAAGAAAGAGTTTTCACTATTTGTATAATTTTTTTTTTTTTTAATTGATATTATTAATTTTATTGCTGATATTATTGATATTATTATTACTAGTACTGCTGTTATTGATAATATTATTACTATTATTGATATTGATATTAGTCTTATTATTACTGATATTGTTATTGATATTCTTGTAAATGCTTTTGTTGTTGTTATTACAATTTTTGTTGTTGTTCTTCTTCTTCCTGTTATTTTTATTGTTATTGCTATTATTGTAATTTTTATTGTTATTGTTATTATTATTATCATTATCATTATTATCATTATTATTATTTATTATTGTTATTGTTATTATTGTTATCGTTATAATTATTATTATTATTATTATTATTATTATTATTATTATTATTATTATTATTATTATTATTATTATTATTATTATTATTATTATTATTATTATTATTATTGTTATTATTTTGATGATGATGTTTGGCTTGTCATCATTTCTCTTTTCATTTTGATTTTTGCTTACCCACTCTTTCTTTTTCTAATTTCTAAAATAATTTTTTCTATAAACAGACAGTGGAAACGAAAGTTGAAGCTGGTGTTTATTCCGAGGAAGATGAAGTGGTCGAGCAGCTGGACCAACCGCGACTCTTTGAGAATGGAACTATGAGGTCCTATCAGCTCGATGGATTTTCGTGGCTCAGGGTAAGTTTTGTTTGTTGTTCTGATCTGATTGTGATGATGGGAATATAGAATGGAAAATATGTTATTTATTTATTTTGATATTCATTATGTTGTGTTTGTAAAATTGTTGTTCTGCTTGTTAGGTACTTTATGAAAATGGTGTCAATGGAATCTTGGGCGATGAGATGGGTCTTGGCAAAACCATCCAGTCCATTGCTCTTCTGTGCCACCTTATAGACAGAGGTGTGCAGGGTCCTTTCCTTGTGGTTGCACCTCTGTCTACACTACCAAATTGGATGTCGGAATTTGAAAGATTTGCGCCAAAGGTGAGCTTTACCGTTTTGAATTTGTTTTTATCATGGGAGGCCTCTAAGGCTGCAAATCTAGAATTTCACTGCTTTTCTTATCAGTTTGCAGCTTTTGTCTGAATACAGTGGTCTACTAAATCTGCAATTCTATTCATTATCATCTCATCATATGTGATTGCTGAAAATACAAAGTTCTAATTAACAGGTACCTACTGTGTTGTATCATGGCTCCGATGCTGTCAGGACAGAGAAAAGGAGAATGTTCCAGAAATTGTTACCAGTGGAAGGAACCTCAGTACAAGTCTTTCCTGTTGTTATTACATCCTATGAGGTGAGGAAAATAAATGTGAACTGTTCAGTTTATTTTGTCTTATTTGTAGTTCATCTGCTGAAAGTGTATACCTAAAGCATGTTAAATGATTTTAAAAGATATGCGCTCTAATTAAAGTGGTTAATTTTCAGGTAGTGATCCGTGATACGCGGTTCCTTTCGAGGTATTACTGGCGCTACATATGTGTAGATGAAGGACACAGGATAAAGAACCACAATTGCAGACTTACTAAGTGAGTATTATTTGCAGTGGATTTTCAGATAACTACAGGAATTAGTAAGTATTATTGATATTATGGAAGGCTAGAGAACATCTTGAAGTGTTTTTTTTTCCCTGAAGTTGTGTGACTGGTGTTTTGCTTATGAATAATAAAAAAGGAAGAATCTGAGATCAAAGATTATTATGGTTGTTATTTAATACCTTTTATGGTTTTAGATTATTGTTTACATATGAAGCTAATGGTAATATATGTGTATGTATAATGAAAAAAGTTACTAATTTTTTTTGTGTCTTCTACAGGTCACTGAACACATTCCCATCAGCAAACCGTCTCCTCCTGACTGGTACACCTTTGCAAAATAACCTTGCAGAGCTTTGGTCTCTGTTGAATTTCCTCATGCCTGAGATCTTTGACTCTCTGGATGTCTTTGAGTCCTGGTTTGATGTAACAGAGATGATGGAGGATGGCAGTGACGAGAAGATCATCCAGCAGGAGAGAGAGAAGCAGGTCATAGGAACACTCCAAAAGGTATGTGAAAGATCAGTTTTATGTACCAGGCATAAGAAACAAGATATATCTAAAGCCCTTACTGTGTTTGGGATGATCTTCATAAGGTTTTGATATTCCTCCACAGATTCTCAGTCCCTTTTTCCTGCGACGCATGAAGAAAGATGTCAATCTTGAGATTCCACCTAAGAAAGAATTACTGGTATACACTCCCATGACCCCCCTGCAGCTGAAGCTTTATGAGGCTACCCTGACTTTGGACTATGCTGTCTTTGATAACATGAAGGTAAGTCATTTTTCCTCTTTTGATTTGATGCTTTTTTGACTGTGTCTTACACTAGGACTTTTCCACGCTTACTTAGCCAACTTTCTCTTAATTTTTCATACCGGTGAATTATTATTAATTCAGAATTAGTTTCTTTTCTTCAACAGGACACTGTCATTGTCAGCTTCTGATCTTACAGAACACCTATGCACATATTGTGTGTCTCATTTTTGATTCAAGTTTTTTTGTTTTATATTCAAAGTTTGAGAGCTTTAGGAGAATGTAACAGAATAATTTATATCTGTATAAATTTGTTGTTTGGATTGTGATTTTGAAAATGATAATTTTATAAATTTTTTATATTTCCAGAAAGTGGATGAGAAAGTGGAATATGATAACAAGGGAAGACCAAAACGCAAATCCAAAAAGGACATAGACTACTCCGCACTGCTCGATGAAAGTGAATCTCCTAAATCCCTAGACAGGTTTCTAGATGCTGTGATGACGATGCAAGAAAGAGCAAATGAGGAGTAGGTTTCTTTTGCAATGTTTCCTTAACCCAATGCCGCCGGGGGAAAAGAACAAAAAATGGGGAAAATGCTGTGCCCACTTTCTTTGTTTTTCGTGAAATGTCTGCTGATAGATGGCTCTGCTAGCGCCTGATTTGAAATGGCGGGAAAAACGCATTTTTCACTAGTGCTATGAAAATCGAAGGTGTTATTTTTATCATAAACATTATAATTTTTATAATGTTTTTTAACATTACTAACAGCAAAATAAGATAACATAAAATATTTCGTAAATCAAAGAAATGGGTAAACGGGTGAGATGGGAGGTACTCGTAGCTGGCTCATTGGTGATTTAGTACAAGTGTTGCCATCTATGTGTAAAAACCATCAAACAAGTACTTACGGTGGGCATAGCACGTACCTACACGTCATACCCAGCGGCATTGGGTTAAGAGTTTGATACAATCTTATCATTTACAATTTATTGCTATTTGAGCTTGGAGTTTATGCATTTGTATCTTGTTGAGAAGAATTTATATAAAAAGTGATAGTTCTCAAAATGTCTATAAGAATTTAAAGGGAAAACTTATTTTGTTTATTTCATAACACTGATGTTTTCTTAAACAGAGCTACAGTTAAGAAGACATCTGCAGTCAATATCAAGCTAACAAACAGAATGATGCAGTGTCGTAAAATAGTGAACCATCCATACCTTATCAACTACCCTCTAACAAAAGATGGAGAGTACATGGTAAGTAATGAGATACAAAGACTTGTATGTATTCGAAGAAGTGTGAATGACACTGCTGCAGTAGGAAAGGAATTTTCTTTTCTTATTTTGGTAGTTTGTGCTCTTGGTGGAAGGCACTATTTAAATCAGGATTACTATGATTATTATTAGTATTGTTATTATTAATCATTATACACAGGAATTTAAAGAGTCTAATTACATTTGATGAGAAAATCAAGACCTAATGAAGTGTTTTATTTTTCATGCACATTATCACCATCATCATGTCATAGATGTTTTTATGAGGAGTTGTGAGTTTCTGATGAAAGCACTAGGTAATTTATATGAACATTGTAGTACTTGGCTCACTTTCAGTTTAACACTTTTGACTCTCATCTGTTAAACAGATTGACGAAGGCCTGCTGGAGTCCTGTGGGAAACTGCAAGTACTTGACCAACTGCTGGGAGAATTGTACAAGCGCAAACACAGAGTGCTCATTTTCTCCCAAATGACCATGATGCTTGATATCCTTGAGGATTACCTCTCCCTTAGGCCCAAGTACAAGTGAGTTTAATTCATTTTTCATTAGTGTAAAACGAGCAAAAGATATCAGATATCTGATGATCTTTTTTGCTTACCAACGTTAATAAGAACTCATTGAAACCTAATAGGATCCTGCAAATTAGCATAATTGAATGGTACAGACACGTATTATTTTCTGATTTCCTTTCAGTTATAAGCGCCTTGATGGAAGCAGATCATTAGATACTCGGCAAAATGACATCAAAGAATACAACAGCAAAGACTCAAACAGCTTTATATTCTTATTAAGCACAAGGGCTGGTGGTTTAGGTATTAATTTAGCCTCTGCTGATACAGTCATCATATATGACTCGGATTGGGTGAGTAGCTATTTACTTTTTGTGTTATTGTATTTCAGTCATGTTTTCATAAATACTTACAATTTTGTATTGTCTTGTATTTTTTTTTTTTTTTTTTTTTTTTTTTTTTTTCAATGGGATTATATAAATGACTAGTTATTTCTGATGAGACTGTTCTTAGTGATTATTTTATTATTTTTGATTATATTTACTTCATGCAGAACCCACAAGCTGACCTGCAGGCACAGGATCGATGCCACAGAATTGGACAGACTCGACCAGTGCTGATCCTTCGACTCATTACTGCATCTACCATCGACGAGAGGATTGTAGAGCGTGCTGCCACCAAGCGCAAGTTGGAGAAGCTCATCATCCAGTCAGGAAAATTCAAAGCTTCGAAACAGAAAGACAGGTTCTTGGATAAAGTCATGGATCCCAATGAGCTTGTTACTCTCCTTAGCCAGAGAGATCATGAAAGGATCCATCGCACTAACACAGGCCATGGTAAGGAGATAGGAGGGTTGGAAAAGTTCTGAAAAATTTGTATAGATATTTTTTTATTTAAATGTTAGATGTTCTTCAATGGTATTACATATAGTGATATGTCAAATGCACTTACATGTACTTCTGGGACAAAAGTGAAAAGCACCATTACATTATTTTCCCCTTTTTCACTCGTCTGTCCTTTTTCAACATGGTAACTTATATATACACTTCTCATTTCAGTGTTTACAAAGGAAGAACTGAATCAGTTACTAGACAGAAGTGACCTGATTCAGAAGAGAGAAGGAAAGGAGCTACCTGAAAAAGACCTAACTGGTGTCTTCAAGGTTATTAATGTTGGAGAGAATGAATAACTAGTGAAAGCGTACTTGAAGTTAAGAAAAGTGGTCTGGTTCTTTATGTTGGTTGCGATATCACACTGAAGTCATTGTATAGGTTCATGTTTGTTTGATGATGTAAATACAAATCTGTCCTTGAAATAATCATTAGATTTTTTTTCTATGTAAACTGAAAAGAGGGCTAAGCCTTTTTCTTTTTTTCAAGTTCTGTAACTAGGTTGTAAATATTATTTTAAAAATTGTTGACTTTTCATAGAAAACTTTTTATTGTTCATTATCAACCCAGTGGAAAATTTGTGCCATTTTAGAGGCATACTTGGTTACCTATGAAACCATAGTAAAGGTAATGATTCTTTACAACAGCAAAGATTCCTTTATTTATAAGCTGTACTATTACTTTGTGGCTCGTATACATTCTCAGGCTTCCTGTCAGATTTTCAAAGCATAATCTGATAGTTCAGCTTAAGCATGTATAGGGTGCCCATTCAAACCCACTTGAACCATATGTTTGCTTGATGGAATAAATCCTGGTAGTCTGAACAGCCCACACATGCTCAATTCTATAAATCTGACTTTTTTGCTTTGGCTACTGCACAGGATGCTGGATCATGTGTGGAGGCGTTTAGACTTTCACTCTCTTCAGTAATGTCAAGATTGCTCTTTTATATAGAAGAGGTATGAATGAGAATGAATATCTTCACAATACAAGAGATGTATTAAATACATCTCTTGTATTGTAAAGATATTCATTCTCATTCATACCTTTTCTACATTTGTCAACATGAATACGGTTCATTGCTCTCTTAGTAAGATACTTTAATAAGTTTTATTAATAGGTCTCTATGGGCATTCTTGAGGTAACTGCAGATGAGAGAGAATATCTTTGTTTAAGATAAAAGATATTTCTGCAAGATATTGGTATTTGCACTGATGTTGATAGATTATTTTAGTTTAGGAGTTCAAGCCATGATTTTTAAAAATTCCAGTTTAAAGTTAGAAGTAACTTGAGGGTATTTACAGCTTCTCAGTATATAAAGGAACCTTCGCTTAAAATTAAGTTTGTCTTGTAGGAAAACAGCACAAAGCAAAAGAATTGGAAAAGATTTCATTCTATTAGTTTGGAGCCACTGTTTGCCAAAGATCTGTTTTATTTTTCTGTCAGTATAATTGTATTTATGGCTTTTTATGTCGTATATTGCATTTTTTTGTGAAAAAAACAGAACAACTGTCATGCTCCAGTGTTTCGTATATATTTATATTTTTCTACTGCTTTTGTTTTTGTACTTCTCGTGAAATTTAATAAAATTGAATATGTAATTAATTTTTTCTTACATACCTACAGCTTTTTTACATAAACACCTGTCATGATTTTGTTGGAAAAACAATGTTTGTTTAAGCAAATTAAATACAAGTTAAAGTGCTAATAATATGAAGAATGAAGAAGCTTTTAACTGCTGGGGACCACTCTTACCTTAGGCCTCAGCCCTTGAGCTGTCTAATTTTGCATGGTTCTCACTTCCACTTTCTTTTTCCTTAACTCAAATCCCATGTACTTGTACTATGTTGAAAGGATGAAAGGCTGACTTTGTGCTCAATTTGGTCTTGGTTTCTCCCGTTTAGTTGTCTAATCCGTACCCCTCTTTTCGTATCATTAGTAGGGGCAATGAGTCTTGATCCTTTATCAACTAGCCCATTAAATTTAATTCCCCAATTCCCAGACCCCCAGGCTCTCCTTTGCCCACGACTCTGAACACTACTACTACCCCATCCTCAAATCCTACTTTCACCTCAGTCCAGTCCAAATCATCCATCAAGGTTATTATCAACCTCCAGGAAACATGCATCCCCTCCTAACATCCCCTACTTCATCTCCTCCACCCCCACAACTTTCTTCTTCCTTATTACTCTCTGCAGTACTACTTCACTCAATGCCACTCCCTCTTCTGCAAGGCCCTGTCCTCCTACTAACCCCACCTCTATAAATCTTGAGTACTCTCTGTAGTGCAGCCAAGTGGGATCAATTTTTTGTGATCTCTTTTACAGCCCCTTATTCTGACAACAATTTAATCTTCCAACAATTCCTCCAAAAACCAATAGGCAAAGTTTCCTTCCACCTTGTCAAAGTTAACTCTGAATCCTAACCTAAAGCATTATCAACCCTGACTGACCACTGGCAAACACATTCCTGTCCAGCCCTATCCCTCCCTAAATACTTGTACTAGAACTATCTCCATCTCCCCAACAAACTGGCCTGTCTATGACAAGAGTTGGTCAGATTGTGGAGACTTACTTGCCTGCCTCATGGACTATGATGCAGTATCTGTACAATTTGCTACACCATTGCCCCTAGGGGCCATCGTAAGTCCTCCACCATTATTACTTTCTATGGAAATGACCTCCCCTATCAGGTTTATATTGGGGGACAATCCCTCCCTGTCTTACCATATGAACCTCCCTCTCTACTTCTACCCCCTTCAACTCTCAATCAAATTATTTTGTAATTCTAAAACAGGACACCCCAGTCTCTACCATTGCCCTGACACCTACCCCTCTCCCTCCTTGCTCTACCCTTAGCAGACAATCTAAATATTCCCATCTCCTACCACACTCTCTCAACCACCTACCTCTTCTCTACCCCTCAGATGCCTATAACCTTTTCTCCCTCTCACAAGAGAACTTTTGTTTCTCAGACCTACCCAACCCAATCCACTTCAGAAACTTTTAAAGACATTTAAAACTATTTAATCATGATCCAGGATAACATGCCTACACCTCATCTATCCTCCAATCTCTCTGGTCCCTTAAACCTTAAACACCCTTTCACCTTTTGCTAATCTCTACCATACCCTATGGACATCCTTGCAGAATCCTACACTTCTCCCTTTGACAACTTTTGATCTAATCACCCTTGTTAATCCCTACCTTAGCCCATACCTTTTGACATGTAGCACATCTAGTTATGAATGAACCTAATACACTTTTCTATAGTGATACATGATCTCTGATGTTTAGCATATTTAATTTGCTTTGTAACCATTACTTTACCTAAATCAGGAATGATGCCCAATAGTTTATTCAAGAATGATTCCAATGACTTATTCAAGAATGATACCCAGTGGCAAATAGGAATCCAGAAGATAAATCAGAGGATAGAAAACATACAAATCAACATTAAAGATATATTTTCCAATTTGTACATTAGAATCCATTAAGAAAACTAAGAGACATCAAAGTGGAACAATTATTATGCATCAGGGAAATTTCCCTGTTACATCACTTGAAATGTGGGCTGAGTATCCTTTTTTCATCCATAAGCATTATATTCAGTTATAGACTCATTACATATTGAGTCATACTTGTAGTGTGAATGTAGCGAAGTGCGTGTATGATGTATGTTGAGTAAGTATTCTTGAGGTATGTTCCCTAAAGCGCCAGATGTGTTGTAATATTATCAATGAATTCAGCAGGTATTATTG